TAAGTCTTATCTTTACATTTTTCCAGTTACAGTTCAGAAATATAAAATGTGTTTGATGGGTTGCCAAGAGTCAACCACAGATCAGTTTCAGTCCAAATCTCCCCATATATTTCTGTCATTTACCTTAGCTTCCTCTTCAATCTGTCTATTGCCACCCATTGTGTTAAGATTGCAAACTTTCAGGGGCAGGGACCTTTTTTTTCTTTGGTAGGTATACAGCTTCCAACACCTGGGGGTCCTGACCCTTAGCTGAGATATATAGGTCCTTCATTATTACAAAGAGCAGCAAGATTTTTCAGATGTCAGCTGGTTTTAACAAGAATTCCTTCACACAGAGACCTTAACTTCTGTGAAAATTCAAAAATAAATCAATTTTATTCTCTTTGATTACCTTAGTTTACTAGTTTCCTTCTAGGATGCCCAACCAAAGCTTTGCATGTTGTTTTAGGAATGTGAATTGTCCAATACACCCCTGGATTGAAAACAAATTGAAGTGTTTAGGCCAATGGTTCTCAACCTTTCTGGACTTGAGGAACCCCTCATTTGACTTGATGCAACACTCCTTAAGTTCTGTGAAGTGAATGGCATCTGGTTTCAAACATAATTTTATAGATTACAGTGCTTGCTTCCTTACAGAGGGGCTTGGCACTGGGAATGAGGGAATCATCCAGGCAGGAAAAGCCTGAGCCTGCACGTATCTGCTTAGTTTAGTTGCTTCTCTCGCAAAGCCTTACTTATCTCCTCACATCTCGTGGCACCCTTCAAAAGATCTGGCAGCAGTCCAGAGTGGCTTGGCACCTGGTTGAGAATCTGGTTACGGTATTTAGGTGTCCAGATAGAGTCATTCTAAAGTGGCTTCATTTATGGAGGGTGGGATACATGGAGTGATCTGAAATTGAGACCCTGGCAAGGGTCCTGTTTGGGCACCCAAAATCACCAGTCACTTTTGACAATGTAGGTCCAAAAGATTTCAGAGTATTTTCACAGTGTTCCAGAGTCATCACTGAGTTTATTAGACAGCCCTTGACCTGTAAAACTAATGTTTGCTTTAATTGTGCTAATCTCAGCCAAAGGATGCCTTTGCCCTATGCATCAAATGATTAAGTGAATAAGGAGCAATAGTATTTATGGAGCCTGTCCAATAGAAGAGTTTACACATTTTTAAGAGTATCAGTTCCTTTCTTGCCCATCAATTAATATCCCTTTCCCACTTCTGTCTTTGGTGACAGAGCTATAAAAGAGGGAAATTACAATGGCAATTACTCTGAGTTCTATATAATCTGTCAACTGTTTTAAAACTGGTTGAGCTAAAAAATGACAGCCCTCTGAAATTTAGTAGAATTCTATATTATTAAAATAGCATTCTAAATTTTAATCTTGTGCATAGACTTTTTAATAGCTTCAACTTTCCCTGCAAATTGTGGGTAGTGCTCACAGAGATTCAATTTAAATACTGTCAAGCAAGACTGATTTTCCAGTATTACTTGCAGCCTTCTCTCCCTTCCCCTCTATGCTACTGAGTTATTTTTTCAATATTCCCAATTTTCACAGAATTTTATAGGAAGTTACGGAAGAATTTCAATCCTTTTTGCTATTTGTCCAGGTTCTTTTTGATAGTGGTGAATGCAATAATAAGATTTATTAATTGAATTTCAGTTAGGCATCTCTCATTAGTTAAAGATGGTTGCTACAATTTGGACTTTAGAGTCTTTGCTAAATGCCTGAGAAGCTGTCTGGCACTTGCAATGTGGTTCAGGGGCTGGATGCAGCCCACCAGACCATTCTATCTGGCCTGCAGGGCCCCTAAAAATAGTAGAAAATTAATATTTATCTGCCTATCATGTGGCCCTCGATGGCTTGCCAAAACTCAGTAAGCGGCCCTCTGCCCAAAATAATTGCCCACTCCTGCTGTAAATCATAGTGATCACACCTGAGTAACTTATACAATAGGTTTAAGAAATGTAGACTCTCTTTTTTAAAATTTAATTAAATAAATCATACGATTAGTCTTGTGGGACTAGTTGGCTTGGGAAATGGGTACTGGCAGTTTTTCATTTCTAGGTCATCAAATCACAGAAAGCTGGTATTTATCTGCTGGTTGTCTGGATCCATGTGAAATGAATTGAAAGTTTTAATTAATGTTCCAAAGATGTGGGTATTCTAGTGAAGCAAACTGCCATTGCAATTTTTGCTTTTTTTGGTAATTTTGGTACTTGAGGCATAATATGTCTGGTGCATACATTGCAAGACATCTTCAGTGACTGGCTTTCTTGCATGCATATCAGCCTCTAGCTTCTTTACTATTCATTCCATCCAAGAAGAGTACACACCAACTACAGATGCTTCCTCAGCTTGACAAAGGGTTTTTAAATCCAAAAGCTTGCTAAGAAAATTTTTTCCAACTATTTAGTTGGTCTAATAAAAGATATCAGATTTACCCAAAGAACCTTGTCTCCCTACATCCTTAGACCAACACGTACATCTACACCCCTGTACATTGAATGGTATAACTTACATGCATCAGCATTGCAGCTAGAGCTTGTCAGAACATTTTGTGGACATATGTTGATTTTGGTAAAGTTTTCATTTGTAAAGGGGAAAGGAGAGTAAACTATTTCATGCTGTACACCTGATGATTTCAGCACTGTCCTGGCATATAGGAAGCAAAGGCTCAAGGCCTTTTTCTCTTAGTTTTGGAAATGCAAGAATTTCTCTTAGATCCAGAGGGACATGAGATAAAAAATGATGTTCCTAATCAGGTAGAGCAAATAGCAAGCACTGTAATTTATAATCCATACCATATTCCAATACCCTAACCACCCAAGTTTTCATAGGAAAGTAGGACTGGAACAGACAGCACAAGGTCATCTGTTCTAGCCCCTTGCTCAAGGCAGGATCATCTCTGATTAAATCATCCCAGCCTAGCTGGCACTTAAAAGTTTCCAGGGATGGAGATTCCACAACTTCTATAGGTAGTCTGTTCCAATGGTTGACCACCCTCATAGTCAGAAAGTTTCTCCTAATCTCTAATTTCTTCTGCTGTAGTTTGAGGCCCTTGCTCCTAGTCCTTTCCTCCTACAGCCACAAAGAAAAGCACATCTCCATCCTCTCTATAATTACCCTTCAGGTATTTGAAGACTGTTATCAAAATCTATTATCCCTCTCAGTTTTCTTCAGACTAGTCTCTTTTCCAGAATAATAACCTTAGTTCTTTCAGCCTTTCCTCATAAGTCGTGCTTCCAGGCTTCTGATCATTTTTGTTGTTCTGCACTGGACCCTCGCCAAAGTGTCTACATGCTTCTTGAAGTGTAGGTTCCAAAACTGGACACAGTACTCCAGGTGAGTCCTCACCGGTGCTGAATAGAGTAGAAGAATCAGTCTCCTTTATTTGCAAGTAACAGTCCTATAACCCCCAGGTGCTTCTTTACAGTACTGTAGCCTAGTTCATTTTCTGGTCTGTAGTTGTACATGCAGTTATTCCATCTGAAGTGCAGGAGTTTTCACTTGACTGTGTTGAATCACATCCAGTTGAATCTGAACTATTTTTCCAGTCTATCTAGGTCATTCTGCATCCTAGCTCTGCCCTCTAGGGTGTCTGCAACTCTACCCAACTGGGTGCCATCTACAAATTGGCTAAGCGTGTGCTAAATCCCATCATCTAAATTATTAATGAACGGTTCTAGACCCACGACAGACCCCTAGGGAATCCCATTTGAAGCAGAAGCAGAGTGAGCTTATTGAAGCAGAAGCAGAATGAGCTTATTGAAGACCCAAGGTGGTTCTGGGAGGAGAGGGGAGGGGTGTGGGGCATGCTGACCACTGTGGAAGTGGATAAGGAAAGGGAGCTTACACCTTCCTGGGCTGCTGCTGCGTCTATAACAGCATCAGCTTCACTCAGGCGGCTGCAGCTCTGTGGTTAAACTCCCTGGGAGCCAACACTTGTGCCTTGTTTACTCCCTCCCCACAATACATACATATCAGGCATGCAGCCTGCTCAACAAAGACTTCCCAGGGAGGGGTGGAGGAAAGCAGCATTCTGTTTGCTCCACTTGCCCCCAGCTCACAAAATGCACTGCTTGGCGTAGCACTGCCCTGCCTGACTCCCTGTGCCTGCCTCCTGTGACCAGCTAGGAGAAGCACAGCGATGCTCCCACTATGGCACAGACTCTTTGGAGGGGGGGGGCGGGGGGGAGGGCATGATTCTAGCATCCCCTCCTAGTCAGTGCCCAGGACTGGTGCTCCTGTTGCCTTGCTCTAGTTATACTGTTGCTTGATACCTTCTTTTAACTACACATTGAGCCAAGGATTACTTATTAGTAGAGACCTACCAAAATTGCAATTTCACAAAATCTAGCATTGCCCATGAAATCCAGCAAAGCCTGCAAAATCTATGGAAAAAAAAAATTACTGAAAATAAAATGCCAGCTTCTGAGCCAGGAGTATTTAGGGCACTGCAGCAGCCTGCTGGGGTAGGGAAGTGGGGAAGGGGATCTGCCTGCTCAAAGGACTATCAGCAAGATGGCTGCTGTTCCTGCCCCTTGCCATTGATTGGCTACAAGGGCTGCCTGTCACGTGGCCCTGCTCCTCTCCTCCAACTGGCAGGAAGGGGTGGGGCGACATGATAGGCAGCCCTCACAGCCAATCAGCAGCAAGGGGTGGGGCCACTGGGGCCCCTCCGCCAATCAGAGGCATGGGAGGGGATGCTTTCTTCTACGCATGAAATGGATGCTAGACCCTGTGTTCTGCCTGCAAAATCAGGTGGCAGCTGCCCCTGAATTCAATAGGTCCCTACTTATTGAGCATGATGATCAAACCAGTTTTGTATCCACCTTACAGTACCTTCATCTAGTCCATATTTCTTAGTATGTTAATAAGAATTTGTGGGAGACTGTCAAATGCCTTGCTAAAATCAAGGTATATCACATCCACTGCTCTAGCCCCATACCCAGAGTCCATCACCTTATTATAGAAGGAAATCAGGTTGGTCAGGCATGACTTACTTTTGGTGAATTCATGCTGGCTGTTCCATAGTAGATTGTGTGCTTCACAACAGATTCCTTGAGGACATGCTCCATGAATTTCAGGTATCGAGATCTGGCTGACTGCTTTTTAATTCTCAGGATCCTCCTTCTTCTCTTTTTTAAAGATGGACACTATATTTGCCCTTTTCCAATCATCCAGGACCTCATCTCACCTCCATGGATTCTCAAAATGGATAGTTATGGGCTTTGGAATTACTTCAGCCAATTCTTTCAGTACTCTAAAGTTCATATTATCTGGCCCTGCTACTTTGGAAGCATCTAGCTTCTCTGAGTAATCTGTAACTTGTTTTTCTACTACTTTAGACTTTAGACCTTCCCTATCTTTTCTGCCAACTGCACTTGTCATCTGGTAGTTGTGAAGATGGAAGTAAAAAAGGCATGACATATTTCAGCCCTCTCTGCATGATCTGTATCTAGATTGCTTGTGTGTTCTGTAAATGACCTATGGTTTCTTTGGTCTTCCTTTTACTTGTTATTGCCTTTTCCCATTTTTATTGCCTTTTCATGTCCCTTGCATAGTGTCTCTTAATGTAATTAAAAGCTGAGGTGTTTGTCAGAAATTGATATTTTGATGCAGTTCTGCTTTTGTAGAACTGCTTGTCCTGATGGAAAGATTTGAAAATATATTTTGATAGTTTGAAAGTTTTCATCAAACAGAATTATTGTCTTGTGCTCAGCTCAAATGATATCTGCCAGCTGCATCACTAGACAACCTATTCATGTGGTGCAGATTCAGCCACTCCTTAAGTAAGTCTAGAATATGCATCATGAATTAATAATTTTATATGTACAGTAACTTGGCTGTAATAGGGTTGATCAGAATTGCAAATGCCCTTGACTCTTGAAGGGGAAAGTAATCTCTGCAGTAGTAGAGCTTTGCAAAATGATGCTCTTTAAAAACTGCCATGTACAATATTTCAGTCAATATTTGGAGCAAGGCTTTTCAAGCTTTTTTTAACATGACAGACAATATTCAAATAGACTCTGTATTCTGTGGACCCACCTATCCTTGCTTCTGCAGTTGTGCAGACCACCATCACTCCCATTAGCCATCTGTGGCAACTACCTTAGTTGGTAACTGTAGTAAGCGGTAATATTGGAAAAATATCTGATTATTCATCTGTCATTCAATGCACCTTAGCAGCTGGAAACAAGGAAGAACATCTTGTGTGTAATAAGCCTTCTGCAAGTGCTCTATAAGTCACTACAGAGACTAAATAAGAATATAGAAATTACTGATTTACTTTGGCTGTTTCCTTTACTGTGTTTTGAGGTCCAAAAACCAATATTTCAGTATACAAGTGCCTATTTCAACATCCAGATATGGGGTTTGAGCACTCAAGTCTGAAAACTTGTTCAGCAACATGTCTAAGTTCCCAGTGTCTATTTTTTACTTTTAGCAATTGTTTTCATGGAAGAAAATGGAACTTCTTATTCTGTTTTGTAACCTAGACCTACCACTGGTTTTCCTTTTCCCTTTAAATACTATAAACAGTGTTTCTTATTGATTATTGAAAAAAACAAACAAACCCCACAGCTCCAACCAAATCCACTACTGGCCCCACAAGTCTTAGGTTTGCAGTTTTTGTTTCATACAAGAAGTATAACTAAACTTGAAAAAAATATATTGATTGTGTGGAGAAATGACTTTAAACACAAACTGACAGATCAGGAGAAGAAGGAGAGAAATCTCTTGATTTGGCAGCAACAGGAAAAGCATGCAATAATGGTGCAATAATGGTAATAACACAAATAATGGTGCAATAATAAGTACTATGGCAGTCTGATGCCCTTGCACTATGTCAGTAAGTGAAGAAATTAAATGTGTTTTTGATTAGCAGTTGTAACATATGGAGAAAGGATGAGTTCTAGCTGAGATCAACATGGTTTAGTTGTGGGGTGGAGGGTGGGGGCAGGAATGCTGCATGAATCAGATGGGAGAATAGGAGTAGTGTTGTTATTGGATCACCTGGTGATGTGCTTATTGACAAGGGCACTGGTGTAGTTCTCACCAGCAGCAATGTGCCTGACTATGCAAACAGTCTGAACCCCATCACTGGATCAGGGACTCAGCTAATTGTTTCGTTTTCTTCTAATGTGGAACCACCAGCTGGCACAGAGAAGATTACATTAAATGCAACATTGCTGCGTCAGTGTCCGCATTTATTAGATTGACTCATCTTCAGCTTCTGATTACCTTGCATTAAATGCTCTCTGTCTAATTTTTGCTCACATAGGTGTCCTCTAAGGTAGGGGAGGGGGGGAGGGATTTTCATTAGTTCTCAACTGTAACTTATTTTTAAACAAGACAAATCAAACAGAAGGAAAGCATTGGCAAAGAAGATTAGAACCAAGATATTTTTTGATCATTCCAGTTGCCAGGGCAGATGAAAGATTTGGCAAAGGGGGTGCAGGAGCAGCCCTTATTCTCAGCTTCCTCCCCCCCCTATACACACATTGAAGCAGGCAGACCATGCCGCAGGAGTCTCTGGGGACTTAAAAAAAAGTACCCAAAACACATAAGAATCCCCCTCTCACCATCCATGCTCAAAGGCACATCCTCTCTCCTTCCTTTCCCCACCTTCCCTCCCTAGCCTGCAGCTGCTTCTTTACCCCCTGTCTTAGGGACTGGGAAAGCTTCAAAGCTGCTCCTCCCTGGGACAGCCAGGCTGTGTGGGGGCTGGACTCAGCTGAGAACACTGGAAGCAGCAGTGGGTGCGTGTGTGGGGGGGTCCTCCTTTTCATGCCTGCTTCTGGGGGATTGGGCAGGGTGGGAGAACCCACTGCCCTGCTCCATTGCCACCACTGCCACTATCACTGTTACTTTCTCTGTTCCCAGCTGAGCCGAGGCCCCATGCGGCCTGGTTGGAGCATGCAGGAGTGGCTTTGAAGCTTCCTCTGTGCCTGGGATAGCCATGAAAGCTGCAGCAACAGGTGAGGGAGTGCAGGAAGGATTGGGGAGGGGACATGCCTTTGAGCATGGGGGAGAAAGGGATGGATTCTTATGTTTTGGGGAGTTTAAGTAAGTCTCCAGAGGCTCCTGCGGTGTGGCCTGGCTCCATAACGGGGGTCTGGCTGCACTACTTAACCTCTCTGGATCAGACCCTGCTAGCTGCTGTGGAAGTACAAGTGAGGGAGTCCAGGGGCATTCTCCATAGGGAGTTTTCTGTGCAATTTTCTTCAATCTACTGCATTCCAAAGATAAACACATTTTCTGTTTATGAGCCAGAGCTATCCAAAGATTACTGTGGGGTTCAAGTGAAACTCTGTAATTCCGATTGTTATAATTCAAATTGCTGAATATGAGCCAACAGTGTGCCCTTGTGTGGAGAAGGCTAACAGCATACTGGGCTGCATTAGAAGGAGTGTTTCCAGCCAATTGAGGGAAGTGATTATTTCCCTCTATTTGGCACTGGTGGGGCCACATCTAGAGTAATGTGTCCAGTTTTGGGCCCCCCACCAAAGAAAGGATGTGGACAAATTGGAGCGAGTCCAGTGGAAGACAGTGTAGCTGGGGCACATGACTTATGAGGCGAGGCTGAGGAAACTGGGTTTATTTAGCCTGGAGAAGAGAAGACTGAGAGGGGATTCAATAGAAGCTTTCAACTGCCTGAAGGGTGGTTCCAAAGAGGACGGAGCTGGACTTTTCTCTGTGGTGGCAGATGACAGAACAAGGAGCAATGGTATCAAGTTGCAGCAAGGGAAGTTTAGGTTAGATATTAGGAAGTACTTTCTCATGAAGAGTGTAGTAAAGCACTGGAACAGGTTACGAGGCTGTGGAATCTCCATCCTTGGAGGTTTTTAAGATCTGGCAAGACAAAGCCTGGGATGGGATGATCTAGTTGGGGATGGTCCTGCTTTGAGCAGGGGGTTGGACTAGATGACCTCCTTACTTTGCTTGTTTAGTCACTGTTCACAAATGTTGGTGACTTTCTATGCATCTTTACCCTTTTGCCATGCCTTTTCAACCTCTTTTTTTTCATTTAATTTTGTTGTTATTTGGGTTGCTGTAGAATCCACATCAACATTTTTTTTTTTTTTACGTTGAGGGGTATAATGACTCTTCACCATCTCAAAGTCATCAAGGGCAATAAAGGATAATCAGATGGAAAGAAATAGGGTCCCTCATGGTTAACACACTAACCCTGTAGTAAGTGCTCTCATAGATGATAACCCTGGTTCAAATTTCTACTCTGCCTGAAGGGAATTGAACTCATGAGTTTCATGAGCATTGTATAAGTATTGTATAATGTAGTGGTGTGAACTTCTAGTACTCTGTGAGAGGTCTTCTTGTGATTTGTAACTGACATTATGGCTAAACAGTGAGGCCAGAATTTTAAGACCATAACACCTAGCCTCTCAGGGAGCCCATCTATAATGAGACAGTTTCACTCATTGCTTTCATTTCTTAGTGCTTTGCACTATTTTGTCCCCTATAAGCCAGTCCATCCCCATTCTATTACAGCCTGGCACACTGATTTGATTCTACATCTGCCAGCCCAACATCATTTTTCGATTGTGGGGAGCAGAAGCTGCAGCCAAAGGGAGGGAGCACTGGAGCAGTAAATTGTCTGTGCTGCTATGTACAGCTTAATAAGCACCTACAGCACAGAACACTTTATTAAAGCAACATCTGTTGCAAGCACACTTCTTAGCATGTGGATGACAGCCATTTTGCAGTCAACTGAATTCTTAAAAATACAAGATATTTATGTTTCAACAAGAATCAAAGTTTATTAACCTGCTAAGTTTTGCTGTGGACAGTAGCACAGTAGCACATATCAAACATTTGATATGAATGCTATGGGGACAGAGATTTTATTTTAATTCATAAGATTAGAATCATAATGCAGGTTTAAATCATTACTATTTTCTATTTTCCTGATGGGTTTGATTCGCTCTAAATCTATTTACATACCTCATTGCAGGTAAGTATGAATAATATATGTAGGGTGGGATATAGGTGGTAGTATTGCCATCGTGCTCATTTGGGAAGCAGTTTTTAATCTGCTTCCCAAGAATCCAGAAGAGTTCCACTGATAGAGCTTCTGTGTCCCTGGGGCATCCTCCTTCTGGCACCAGGTCTTTATTTTCCCCATAGACTCTCCTACTCTCACCAGCCACGTTGTTCTCCCTGCTTTACCACTAGGAT